GAATGGGAGAATAGAGGTACAGTGGGTAGAGTTCACCAACTGCTTATAAAAGAATTGAAAACATAGAAACATGCAACATTACACAGACTTAGCAGTTGTATCTATATATTTAGGAGTAAATATTGATAACCAAATACATAAAACTTTGCAACAACAATTAATTTGAAATAGATCAGGAAGGTGCATATGAGAGGGTTTTGAATAAGAAAAGAAGCACTGAAATATATATTTATATTATAATCTCATATATATAAATAATGTTTTTTTAAAAATAGCTAGGGGTGCTTTCATGTATATCTAATTGTTATTCTTTTGTTCTAATTGTGAGATGAAGGTAGAATAAGAGAATCTCTGGAAGCTTATGGGTCAGGCAGCATGGTATGCACAGCAGCAAACAGCTCTGTGACTCTGTCTCCAACAAGGTAGAAAGAGAGGACCACACAAAACTGGAATCTGACCTACACACATACAAAGGCATGTGTGTGTCTGCATTAATAGACATGAATATGTAGGCACATGCATATACATCATGTGCACAATGCACCCTAATTGTCCTGATTTGTTTCATACTACAACGTATACAATTGTTGATCCATTTTAACTTCTTCAATAAACACACTGATGCTTTGGAGCTAACTTTAAATAATTTTAAAGTTCTGTATTAAATGATACAGAACTTTATAAAACTAGGTTAGGATATTATAACTATGACTGTTTCACTAACAGGTTAAAAATTAAACAATAATTCTCTGTTTTCACAATGCTTTCACATTGATTTCATTTGGTCTGACATCTAAAATTCTACTAACCTGTCTTATAAGAGTTTTATTCATTTCTCCTTCAAAGATCTTTCCCAATTTATTGAATTAAAAGGCAGACCACACCATGACTATTTGTGATCTCCTCCATTGTCCAAGTAACTAATCTTAACTAACTCAATAACTCCAAGTGGTCCTCTTGATATCTGGAGAGAAGGGAGGCTGTGCTACAACACCTCTGTACCACTGGTATTAGTTACATGTCTTATTGTTTCCAAAAGATACCTTACAAAAGCACTTGAGGAAGGCTTTGTTTTGAAATATACTTTCTAGATTCAGTCTACCATGTTAGATGTAGACTGATTCAATGATGGTGCTCAGATCATTTCTTCTTTTTTATAAAGTGTATTACAACATCCCAGGAAATCCTACTACCCATCCCAATTAACCTAAGTAGGGCAGTCCCTCACAGCACATGGTCAGAGGCTAACTTACTCTAGATAATGAGTCACAAGAGTGCCTGGAGGCTTGTTGGTAATTAAAAACAACATCATTTTTACAGTATTGACTATTACTCCCTGATCACTGACTTGTGATTTTAACAATCACCACTCTCCTTTTGGGGCTGAGTCACAGGACTTTATTCAACTCATTATCTGGAAATAAATATGGCCCAGATTCTTCAGTGATAATTTTGATATTTCCAAAAAAAAAACTATGATTATTACTTAAAATAAAGACCAGTAGGCAAAGGTGCTTTAAGGAAGGTTACACAGGCATATCAGAGATTAGATGATCAAGTTATCCAGCTCTCAAATCCCAACCTTCTATAAGCACACATACCTACTTTAGTCAAATCTTTATATAATAATTTATCACTCAATATTCTTGAGAATATATTTGTTTCTTTTTATCAACTAAAATCTTGTGGCTGAATATTATCTTTGTGTTATGCTAGAATCAATATGTTTGTTGATATATTGTCATTTTAAGAGGGAAACTAGTAGAATAAAATTGATAGGACATTTTTCAAATTGAAGATAAATATAAATAGTATCAAATTTTCAATTAATATTACATAATCTATAAGTGTGTAAACAGCAATTGCAAGACACAAAGGACAATCTTGAATTTGTAAAGCATGGAAAATAACCTTTTTATGATATATGGAGAGAAAATACGTAACACAAAACAGAATTTGACAACAACAGATTCTGGGCACAGGAACAAAGATCTATTTCTTGACATTTAGGTTCTGAATTGAGCTTTTTACTTGGATTATTTTTTTAATTGAGAAAATGTTTTTAGACAATGTTTGGCTCATTATTTTAATCCTCTAATTCCTTCAAAATCCTCCCCACCTCCTCACCCACTCATAGGCTTCCTTTCTCAATCTCTCTCACTTTAGAAAAGAAACAAATGAACAAATGTTTCAATCCTTTCTCCATCTCAGGAACTATTTATTACATGCATTGTCTCCAATAATTGTCAATGTTGATGTTCTACAATCAGACGTAAATGTCTTTTATAAAATATGTGTTGCTTCATACAAACATGTTTTAGTATGGAAATTTAATATATGAACCTGATTTGCTATTCTACATTATAGTCATTTTGACCACCTCAAGAATTCCAAATTTTCCCAAGCTTTATAGAAACCTGAAAATTAAAAGTCTATTCCAGAGGTAAGAAAGGCAGCAGACTGTTACTTGTCCATAAAGACAAATTGTACAGAAAAACATGAGCTGAATCTGGGTAATGATAGGTAAAATATAATACAGAAGAGGCAGGGACACTTCTGGTATCACATTTGAGTGCATGTCTAATCCATATTTCAGCAGATTTCAGTTATCCACAGAAGAGGAGGAAGAATTGTAGGAACCAGAGGAGTAAAGGGCACCAAAAGAACACAGACCACAGAATTAACTAAACAGGGCTGATACAGTTTCAAAGTTATTAAAGCACCAAACAAGGGAGCCTGTATGAGTTAGCACTAGGTCCTCTGCACATATGTTACAGTCATTAACTTTGTATTTTTGATCTTTATAGGAATCCTAACTGTGGTAGTAGAGGTGTTTCTGACTCTTTTGTCTGCCCATGGAATCCTTGCCCCACTCAGTCCTGATATGAGAGTTTGTGCCTACTTTTGTTGTAATGTGTTATACCATCTTCCTTCTTTTCTGAATGGAAATGGAGAAAGAGTAAATCATGGAGAGAAGGGAAGAAGTACTTAGAGGAGAGGAGGGAGAGGAAACTATGGGAGACATTATAAAAAAGAAGAAAAGTAAATAATTGTCTCAATAATTAAAATTGCTAGCTGTAAATTTTAAGTAATATATATGATTTAACTTCTTTTTGTGGTTTCATGAAATTTTTGCTGAAATTAGATAATCAAGGGATTATCTAATCCCGGTCTGTGACACAGAATCTCATATTTGATCTCTTGAACTATAGCAGAGTTTAGAACTGGTATTTTGCAGTTTTCCTTCAATATTTTTGACAATATTATTTTTTTAGCATTTTACTCTTTCTATAAAATATAGTATTTCTATTACACTTTGTGTTGATCATGATTTTTTACAGTGTTTGTGTCTTCAATTCATTGACCATTTTTCCAGAATTACTGTTTGCTAGTTTCTCACCATTTTGATTTTGTTATTGAATTCTCCTTTATATTTTGAAATTTGTCTTCTGTTAAGTTATGCTTTTCATTCATGAAAGACTTTTCTGTGTATGAAATTTATTCTACTGAGTATATAGATGAAGTCTAATGGTATGTATGTGTAAAACCTAATTATACCAAATTGCTTTCACAAGAGAGTCACAGAAAAAAGACAGTGTTTATAAAGTAGGAACATGGAAAGAAACAGAAACAGAAGCTTGACATTTCAAAAACTGTATATTGTTATTGTATTTTCACTGTTAATCTCTACCCAAGAAATAGTGCTCAACAGAAGCACTCTGACTTTGAGAAATATTCCAGTCATTGACAAAATAAGATATCTAAATCATATACAGCAGATTTCATCATTTTTAACACGATATGAATTGTACTTTCTGAATTAAATACTAAGTGCTTTGCATTAACTGACATCTGCTGGTTAGTGCTAATAATGAAAGGAGAAGCCTCAATAGTTGACTATTAAGATACTTAAGATACTTGAAATCAGCAATAAACTGGAGCAACAGACTTTTTTGTTTTTTAAATTCACTTTACATCCTGATTTCTGTTCTACCTGCAGATCCTCCTTCAAACTCCTTCCACAGTTCTTCCTCCAAACCCGTCTCCCTTTCTCCTCTGAGAGAGTTGAAACCCCCAACCCCACGTATTCCCTCATCTGGGCACATGAAATATCTTCACGGCTAGATACTTATCCCACACAGTGACCAGGCAACACATCCAAGTTTGGAGAATACATTACACAGACAAGCAACAACTTAGAGATAGACCCTTCTTTGGTTGTTTGGGACCTGTATAAAGTCCAAGTTGCAAATCTTCTACATATGATCAAAGAACCTAGGTCCAGCCCATGTATGCTCATTTGTTGGTGGTTCAGTCTTGGAGAAAACCCAAGGGTCCACGTTAGTTGATTCTGTTGGTCTTCTTGTGGTGATCTTATCCTCTTGGGGTATTTTCAGTCTTTCCAACACACCTTTAACCCATACACTTGGAAGCAGAGGCAACCAAATATCTAATAGTTCAAAGCCAACGTTGTTTACAAAGCAAGTTTGAGGACAGCCAAAGCTACATCAAGGGGACCTGTGTTAAACAAAACAGACACTGGCAATACTCCACATTGTTCTGCTCAGAAATTAACTGTACATGTTCCTAAAGTTTTTTATTTTAATGATAATATAGAATAATAAATGATATTTTTGTGAAAAAAAATTTTCACGAATAAACTGAAAATCTCTTATAACATGTCAGCTAGGTAAGAAGGTAAACATACTTGTAAATTTTCAAATATGATATTAGATATGTATTATTGAGGAGATTGAACACTAATGTTAAATCATGGTAATGTGATTGTGGTAGCAACTCTAAAAGAAGAGGCATGAAGATAAGATCTACTTTTGGTAATGTAGATCCTGTTACTTAAAGAAATTAGAAAAACAAAGAAATAAATAATGTTTATAATCTTTGGTCCATCAAGGAAGTAGTTTTATACATGATTAAATTCTAAGTAATAGACTCGGAGAGGAGGCACAATGCAAGATATAAATAAGTAATAAGATTTTGTGTCATTGAATAACTGATTTATGTGCTATTACAATAAAATAGAGCAATTAATTGATATCATTTCTGCCTCAACATTTAAACATAATATATTATTATCTAGAATTGGTGAGAAATAGAGTAATTTAGATTTATTGACTTTCTTAATATGAGATGATATTTTCATAATATAAAACACAAAAACACATAGGATTGCTGTCTGAAATAAGATAAATAATTAAAGCAAAGGTAAATGTTACACAATAGCACTGAGACAACTTGTGACATATGAGCACAAAAGTATAGATTCCATAGAGATAACTATCATCTGAATGTAAAGAATTCTTATAAGACCAACTGCATATTAAAAATTGTAATGAACTTTAAACATCTGAATCCTAACATCCACGGTGTCTAGAAGAGAAGATTCTAAATATTGCCTACTCTGAAATTGTTTACAAGTAGTTGGTCAAACTACACTGTATCTATATAAAATAGAGAAAAAGTAAGGAAAGTACCACAGTCTTCTGCCCCCCTTTCACCTTTCTTTTCCTATCACTGTTTCTCTGTCTCAATGTATGCCTCTTCCTGTGTCTCATCATGACATACACACACACACACACACACACATGCACACACACACATACACACAGCACACTATTCATAATTATATCAAGTGAGAGTGCAGTTTTGAGCTGAAAAGTCTCCTGACTGTGTCCTTCACATCCTTATTTCTAAGGCTATAGATAAGGGGGTTCAGCATGGGGATCATGATTGTGTAAAGAGCAGTGGCCACTTTGACAAAGAGCCGTGAGCTGTTTGAGTTGGGAACACAATATAGAAGGAGTAAGATTCCATGGAAAATTGTTATAGCAGTCAGGTGGGAAGTACAGGTAGAAAAGGCTTTTCGTAGTCCTCCTTTGGAAGGCATCTTTATAATAGTGACAACTATGAACACATATGAGGCTAAGGTGATCAGGACACTGGAAGATTCACTAAGTATAGAAATGACTAAGCATGTCAGCTGGCTAAAGGAGGAGTCAGAGCAAGACACAGAGATGACAGCAGAGTATTCACAGCCAAAGTGATTGATGATGCCATATTCACAATATGATAGTTGCAAAAGAGTATATATGAGTATCACAGCACACAATCCTCCAATCATGTATGTCCCAGCTACTAGCAGAGCACAGAATTGAAGAGGCATTACAACTGTATAGCGTAGGGGATTACAAACAGCCACAAATCTGTCATAGGCCATCACTGCTAACATGAACATTTCTGTAATCACAAATGTACAAATAAAGAAAAATTGTATCATGCATCCTTTGAAAGAAATGGTCCTATCTTCTGTGATCAAGATCTGCAGAAGTTTGGGTGTAAATACACTAGAATAGCATATATCCAAAAATGAAAGGTGGTTGAGGAAAAAGTACATGGGTGTGTGAAGTTTGGGATTGATCTTTATAACCACAAGTATGCCCAGGTTCCCCATCAATGTCACTGAGTAGATGGTCAAGAACAGGAGGAAGAGGGGTATTTGGAGCTGTGGATATTCTGAGAAACCAACCAAGATGAATGTGGTCGCAGAACTCAGGTTCATCACTTCAGAGGCCATCACTTTTCAGATTATAAAAGAGGAAGAAGAGAAAAATGAGACTTAATGGAACTAATGAGAGTGGAGCAATTGAAACTCATGTGAGGATTACCATAAATCATGAAGTCAGATGTGTACATATTCCATTTGTAAGTGTTATGCCTTGTATTAGGTTCTTATGTGGGCAGTCGGTGAATAGAAATTTAGGACAATGCCCTTTGTTATTCCCTTTGCTCTTCACTATTGTATTTTTCTCATCTGTAATTTAATATAGTGCTCATCAGTATCATTCTATGTGAATTATGTTTATATGCATATGTAAATAATGTAACCATTTATTTCATGCTAGAGTAATTCATGGTAAAATATCATTATAGTCATCAGAAACATATTGCTGAGTTATATCAAAGCACTGAGAAGATTGCAGTGGCCATTAGTCCAAGTTAGAGAACGTTTGCACAAATTAAATATCCAACATATGGTTACAAAGTGTAAATGTCTGACACTAAGAGGAAGAATACTGGAAAAGTATTTTCACATTTGAAATTTTCATATTTCTTACCTTTAGCAAAATATTCATTAATTGTGTTCATATACTAAAAGAAGACATAACCACCTGTTTGTTGGCAATTAGAAACAAAAAGAAATAAGTTGTCATTAAAAATGTAAGAATCTATTTTTAATAAAAATACATACTATTTAAGTTGAAACAATTATAAATGCTTTAGTCATGTGGCCAACTTAAGAGCATGGAATGAGAGAAAATGAAAAATATCCAAGGTTAAATAATGTGACTGTTCTATAAATTACTCAGATACTAGATAGTAACTACAAGTGCTTATGTTGGGTGTGTGGAGAAATGACACATCTTTTGTTCTTCTTCCTAACAACAAATTATTTACCTTAATCCAGGTCATTATTATTTTCTAGGGTAGACTGCACTGGGGTTTATTTGACCTTTATGAACTTTATTCAGTTAGCCATATGTAAGGCAAAAAAAATTTATCTATGAATTTAAGATTATTTCAACGGTCTTAAAACCACATATTTTGTAAAGCCTCTGATAATAATCTGCTACCACTATAGATAACTTTGAAAAAAACCATCATATACATAACTGTTTTTCAATGGTCATTGCAGGAAGAGCAACCCGAATAATTACAAAATATGCCAATTAAATAACCTAAGTAAATTGTCTAATCTCAAAAAAGGCAAAACAGATTTAAAATAAAAGTATTCCTAACAATTTACATTTCTTTTATTTTCTCTTTTTAGTAAATTTTCTACTACTTTCTCAATAGTACCTCATATCTAACATTCCTCATACCTAAACACCATTTTTTAATTTTGTGACTACAGAATCCGAAACACTGACTATAATTAATTTTAAATTTAATCCACCATAAAATATTAAATTTCTTCTTATTATTATTGATATTTATTGATAATACTTGTTTTTATGAGTCTTATATTTTATTCTGAATGTCCCTGAATAATTAGAATCCTAGTATATTTTCATGTATATTTACAAGTATTTCAAATGAAAATGCCTATTCTTCCTATTAAAGAAATAGCTTTACCCTTGCTCATGTGTCTTTGTTTTCTTCTTCATAAGCTGATCTTCTCTCTTTTTATCTTTTGCTGTTTTACTTGTTTTCCCATACTAGATAATTTGTGTCTCAGAATACATAAACAACTCTCTTCATCAGCTCTGCATATTGATTTAGTATAGGAGCATTATGAAGCTGAATATACATACCCCTGAATTCAGGATTGTGATGCAGAAAATTCATGAATTTGATGCAATTATATGAAAATAATGACAATATCTCAATACAAGAAGAAAACATAATTAATTTTATAATCTGGTACAGCTAAATAAAGTATTGTGTGTATATCCTGCATTTTATTATCTATTGAAGAGTACATAGGTGTATCCCATTTCTAAGGAAATATTAAAATAGCTGAAGTATCATTAAGGCATTAAAAATTGTGCCAAGCGTCCAAAAGAAATAGCACACATTATAAAACTACCTAAAATGTAGAAACACTCAGAAAAACGTTAGCTGTCCTTTCTTTAAGTGAATATTTCAGTCATGTCATTTTCTAGTGCAGAGAATAATACAAAGTATAATAAAAACAAGAAAAATATAACCAGAACATCGAAAACAATCATTGCTGAAATGATGTGATGATGGTAATGTTTTGTACTATAACTGAGATGTTCTTTGAAGTTTATTAAAATAGATAACAAAAGACATTGGTAGATTACTAAGGTAAAAAAACACGCTGATTTTATAGCATTTAAAATTAAAACAAAGAAAACCTGTAGAGCTATATTTTGTCTCCATTTAGAACTAGGATTTAGATTCACTTTTAGATCTATATTGACATTTCCCCTAGTGCCAGTGTTACATCAACAGTTTTTTAATGTTTTCCTATCTTTAGTGCTTATTGATTATCGAGCTTATTGATATGGCTGTGGGAAAGTACTCCACATCAATGATCAGCAAATCAAAGAGATAATACTATGTACCTTCTGTGGTATTATCTCTGTTATTACTGACTTCATGTCATTTTGATTCAGAGTTCTTTATTCTCAAGATATTGAAAAATCCATGTTTTGCTTAATTGTAAAGACACTAATTTCCCCCAAGTTTGACATAATTTTATAAAATTAACAAACTAGTACTGCATTGCGCACACTACAATAAGTCATGTAAGAAACACAAAAAAAAACCCCTCAAATGATTTTCTTCATTCTTATCAGTATATGCATTGCTTTAAAAACAAAACAGAACAAAAACACAAACAAGGTCTCATTATGTAGAGATAGATAGCCTGAAATTCACTAGACCAAGTTAGCTTTAAACTTACAAAACTAAACCTTGTATGTGTTTCCCAAAGGCTTAGAAAAAAAAGGCATGAACTCACAATATAAAAAGAAGTCATGATTTTGAAAAAATCACATGGAGGAATTTAAGAGAGTGTTTGGAGAAAGGAATAAGAAAATAAAGTAAAATATATGTAATAATTGAATAACATTTCAAAAGGCCCACATTGACTTTTAGAGGTATTTTAATTTTATATTATCTGTGAAAAATTATTATTTGATGTTTTATATTCTGTTTTAGGGACAAGGTGTGTACACAACTCTTCAAAGAGAGCTGCTTTTTTTCTGTATCAATTCCAGAAATGTTACTACTGCTCCATTTTTATTTGCCACTATTATATACAGTCTTATATTGTATAATATTCAGTCATATATTTTGTTATTTTTAGTGGACATTTTTGTGAGTTTTGTACTCTGCATCTAAATTCACTAAAGTCATGAGGATAAACTTTTACATAACTAATGGATCAATTTTTTGCACAGTAACTTAACAATAAGAAAAGAACTTTAAATTTAGTACCGTGGAAAGAAAAAATAAACTTCAAGTTTAATACACAAATGTGTATCATTAAATAAAAGAGTAATGTATCACCCTTTTCCAGCTCATGTCTGTTTTCCCTTTCCTTCAGTATATGTGGATACTGTGTACATCCACAGACTGAAAACATAGATAAATTTGAAGTAACTCACCAAAATAGAGTCTTTCCTGGTATCCATTTTTTCATAATGCTATTGATATAATTAATAAAACACATGTACAGTTTACATCAAAATTAAAATGCATTTATAATATTCTCAACTACAGTAGTAATTTATCAGTGAAACAGAGTTCAGTAGAGTACACAAATACTAATATTTTAGCAATTGGAAACTATTTGTAAAAAACAAAGAAGAGTCATGTACAAGACTGAAACCTGAAATTTTATTTCAAAATATTGTTCATTGTTTAATCTGTAGCTGCTTGACACATGGGACATAAACTCTAAGGAATTCAAATTGTGTGTTGTCACAAATCATGCAGAAATAATTAAAGGAAATCTTCACTGTTACTGAAAATATAATTTCCTCTCAATAATTATTATTAGGCTCTCTCATGATCTGATAAAGGCTAACTCAATATAGATTATATATTTTAAAGTAAAAAACTAACAATAAATATATAAAATTTATTTTAATATATCAACATATTTAAATTTTATATGATATTGCATTTCATGAAAACTGGTACATGATTTATATGAAAACATGGACTTTTTCTCCAAAAGACAATTTAACTAGGAGTTATATACTAAATAAGTATTCAATTAGACTTTCATTGGTTTAGAAAGCAGTGTCACAATCATTCTATATATCCATTTATGCTTATCAGGACAAGAAATGAAGTACAACAGTTATGTTTCAAGTATTCATATTGTTTATTTTGCGTGAAAAACTGTGGATTAAAAGTCAAGTGACAGGTTCAAGTTAGGAATACAAACTAACATCAAAGTATTCACTACTCTCTCCATTGCTTCAAATCCAATAGAGCAGTCTCAGCACTAACTCTGTAGCAGAAAACCTGTAGCAGCATCCTCTCACCTCATCTCTGGCAGATCCCACAGATTTTTCCCTCTTAACTTTCCTTCCCCTAACTGAAGCTTTGTCCTACACCCAAACTTCATCAGTCATTCCCTGCTAACATATAGGCCACTCCAGCTAGGGATGAAGAATAGTTTTTAACTTACTAGCACAGGAAAGACTTGATGAGTTAACACATGAACTAACATCAACAGTAAATAAGTAGAACCTCATAAAACTGAGAATCTTGTGCATAGTAAAGGATATTGCTATTCAGACAAAGTGGCAGCACACAGAATTGCAAATATTTTCATCAATTACAGATTCAATAAAGGGTTACTATCAAAAATATATGAATATCTGAAGAAAATCAAATAATTCAATTAAAATTGTAGCACATATCAAAATAGAGAATTCTGTTCACATGATCTTACATCTGTTAGATATCTAATGTCAATAAAAAATAATTCATACTGGCAAAGATGTGTAATAAGAATACTTATTCTTTTCTTTTCAGGAGGCAAACTTGAATAGCCACAATGAAAATTAGTATGTTGCTTACTTAGAGGGAGTAT